TTTGTGAAGCCTTATGGGTCTACTTTTGATAGGCGATGCGGGTGTCCTTTGTGTCCAAGTAAACATCTAGATGTGTTATGCGCTCTTTTTCGTCGGTCGTAAGGTCGAAGAGAGACACAGCTGAAAAAACTTCAAAATGGTATTGTAGATATTTGAGGTCCTCGAGAGAGAAATGAAGCTCAACAGTATCTATATCAGTATATGGTTCAACCTCGAAGCTAAGAACTCGAGCCTTACGTATATGTTGAAACCTGACATTCATCCCCAGATCTGTTGTCTTCTGGATGATCTGTTCGGCATCAGGGCAAGTTAGTGCCAGGTCAAGAGCTTCTTGGCATGTTTTTGGTAGGCCGTATAGGTCATTAGCGGAATGCGTCTTGTGAAACTCCTACATGTATTCCAAAGCTTTGCTGAGAAATGGTGGGTGAAGATTTCGTCGGACTTTAATTAATGGATGTTGTGAGGGTAATTGAGGAAATTTTCTTTCTGGTTCATTCCTGAAGTGCTCGAAACGAGCTTTCATCTCCCCAGGCTGAATGAGAAGTTTGATGCGCTTCTCAGATTCTTCAATTGTGGTTTCAAAGTCATGATTGATCACCTTCTTTCTTTGAAGTAACTCAGCCATGATTGACGGAGGTTGTCGGTCATCTTCGTTACCTTTTGTTTTTTTCGGCTGCCATTTGGTAGTCGAAGTAGCCCAGGCTGCTTGTCGGCGAGCCATACTGTCTATTCGCTAACACCAGTGTTTTTATGATTTAGACAGTGCGGTATATACGACAGTAGGAGAGTTATAGCTATACCAACGTTGGTCGTATGACTCAGGTGGCTTGAAGGTTTTTTGGTTCGCAGATGAACTCGAACTACTAGAGTTACGTGCATAAAAATCCTTATTATAAAACGATGCGTTGAAATCAAGGCGTTGTCTGGCTGAAGGTTGCCCGTCATTCCATGTTTAAGGGCCAAGCTTATCAAAAACTTTCTGGCGTTGGACTGCGTCGAGCACGTTTTGAGGTGTTATTGCGGCCGTGGGTGGCTGTTGTGGTATTGTAGTCCGAAGTGGCTTTTCATTTGGCTCGGTTAAGATAATTTTTTCTTTGCACCGACTACACAAAACCATAAATCCATCCGTTTCCTCTGTGCTGAAGTTCGACATGGACTCGATGATAGCCGATCCTAAAAAGTCTTTGGGCGACTTATTCGAAAACAAATCAATCTTCAGTCATGGCCGAAAGTTGTGTTTTTGGATGAATTGCATTGGAATGAACTCGGCCTTCCCTTTTCCTTTATTTTTAGGTAGATAAGCATCTACCATGCTTACCATCGCCGAATGGAAAAGAGCGGCGTCAACTACCATTTGCCTTTTCAGGGAATTTGAGCTTGCCATTATCGATCCAGTTTTGAATGGCATTACGAAATATAACACAGTTGTTTGTCGTATGTCTGTTCGAGTTGTGATATTTGTAGTAAGTTTTTCCTTTTAAGTCTTCGGCTTTGGGAATATTATGCCATGGCCGAAGCATGATAATTTTCGAGAGCAGTAATTGGTCGAAGATGGCATCGGCTTTAGTGATGTCGAAAATGTGGACCTTTAATGCTTTAATGGCAGTTTCCACAGGGGTCGAGCGGGTTTTGACATCTTTGGAGTTAGCGTGAGCCAACGCTTTGCATAAATATGGTTTGTTAATCACTATCTCAGCCGCATCTATGCTGGCGTATTGGGACCCTACCCCGTCGACCGATGCATAACTGACCATAGGGTTCTTGTAGATCGTTCCTCGGGATGGGGATTTTGAGATCTTCTCTTCTTAGAGAAAATAATCATATTGCTTGACATGTTGAGCCAGTTCGTACATATCTCGGAAGTTTGCCCCTAAGAATTTCTTTTTGTACTCTACATCCAGGCCATTTAGAGCAAGTCTAACGAAGTCGACTTCAGGGAGAGGTACTTGGCACTAGTTTCTAGCCGACTTAAACCTCGTAAGGTATTCCATTGGTGACTCGTCAAAAGCTTAACCCATCCTGGCTAGAGAAGATACTGATACGTCCATCCTTGATCGATAAAATTGTTCATGCAACTTCTCGACTAGTTCCTCCCAACTGTGGATAGAGCTGGATGAGAGGTTGATATACCATGTGAAAGCTGAGCCCGTTAACGAAAAGTTGAACAATCGCAGCTTATGGAAATCACTGTTAACGTCCCCACATTAAGTAGTAAATCGAGCCACGTGTTCTAATGATGATATGGATGACTCTCCAGCGAAAAGGCTGAAGTCTAGGATCTTGAACCCCTTGAGGTACTCAAACCTTTCCACATAAACAGGATATGGATGAATGAATTTCAGAAACTTCGGCCCCTTTTTCAAAGTCGAATAAATCATTCTCAAGACTTCGACCATATCAACAGATGTCGTTTATGCCTTCTGATCGAAGCCATCCGAAATGCTGGTTGACCCATCATTTTTTTCCAAGTCAATCATTTTGAGCCAAGTGGATCCTGTCTCGGCTTGTATCGTTTGTAATGGGTTATTCTTGAACAAAAACTGCCTGATTCGATTGGCGGATCCACTATCATGGACTCTAATAACTAAGATATCATGCATTTCTTCACGTATGTTTTTTTATTTCTCGGCTGAACATTTGCTTAAATTACCGAGATTGCTCTTTAAGTCGCCGTCGAAGAAACGATCTGGTTGGTGGGTCCGAAGCATCACCATCGTCCTCATCACAATCATCCACTATTCATTCAACAAAAAATTCCTTTTGACGTTTTGGTGGGGATTTTTGCACCACGAGGTTGGTCGCCGAGTCTAACTTCATTTTCTCGGCATGTCGCATTTATAGCTTCAGGTATCACGGTAGCATGAAGAATATGTGCCTGTAACAAGCCATCTTGTCCTGGGTTCTGGACTGGAAGATTAGTCGTCGATTTTCCCATGACTATTCTCTTTTTTACTAACCGTGTCTCAATTGTCATGAACTTCGTAGCTTTAACATTGGGTCCCACTGGGCGTGCCAAAATGTTGACCATAAAAACTATCAAGCCTATGTGGTGCACAGGTCAAGTAATTAATAAGCTAACTACGTCCTTCGATTGTGTGCGGGGTGTGCCAACTCATCGGCCGAGTTCGGCCAGGGAGTAAAATATATTGATGTGGCGTTGGGCGTGCTATTGACTTTTTGATCTTGCGACTATGGCCGAAGAAGGAACACGTCTCAGCCTTCAGGTTCTAGAGCCTGAAGACAAGGCTGCTAGTTCTGCGAAGTTCATAATCAAATTCGGCTTTCAATGTGCCGAATGTAGTAACATGTAACACATCACTTCGCCGAGAAGACTAATGATATGACCTCTACCAACAAGGACTCGAAAATCCTTGTCGACCGAGACTTGGATAAATAACCAGTCGGTCTCGAAGTAGTGTTGTTTATCCAAACTGAAGGTACTCCTTGATCGGCTGATTCTACGGCTCCAGTGCTGTTTATCCAAACTGAAGATGCCGCCGGTTGCCTTCACAGTGATGTTTATCCAAATTAAAGATGTGTTGGCGGGAAGGAAAAAGATAAGGATAAAATTCTCAAGGTTGTTGAGAAGCTTTGCGCAGGGCAATTTGTATATTGATTTGGCGAGAGCTTTGAATGTACACTCCCTCCTATATTTATAGTAGGGAAACCCTTCATAGCTGGGCTAAAATCATACTCAGATTAGAACTTCTCAACCTAATCTGATTAGGTTTCGGCCAATCCTAACTCCAAAAGGACTTTGAACCAAGCTAACTAACAAACCAGATTCATCTCTTAAGTCTCAGCATCCTTAGCCTATTAAGACTCCCCATTGCACTAGGTCTCAACTACTTCATCCTTATCTAAACCAATTTGTCCTGTAATAGGATTTGGTCGATCTTGACTGGACGGCCCGCGATGACTGGACGACCCATGATAATTCTAAAAGAAGATTACTAGGCTGAGACAACTCTAAGCTCGGCCCAAAATAATATTTTGGGCCCAAACAGGTATTTATAAGGAGGTGACCGACTTAGGTGTAGGTTGTTGCCCTACACTTGCCCACTTCCCATTGGTCTAGGTGAGTCATCCATGGTAAGGATGAGGAGAGAATTATCCCAAGATGTTAATTAGGAGATAATATCTCGGGATGATGATGATAATAGCATTTATTGATTGTGATGAAGCTTCCTTACTTGTTTGAGTTGATCTTCAATTTGAATGTATTAAAGATAGAGTTTTGTGATAAATCTTATCTTTAATGCCTTTAATTTTTCCATGCGAGGAGTAGAGGAGGTTGGTGTTCATAGTCAGTTGCTCAAAACTCCAAAGATGTTGGAGAGCATTATTGACTTCTTCTTCAAAAAAAAAAAAAAAAGTCTCCGTATCGTCTGTATAATATTTTAAATATTTTTTGCTCCACAACCACCAATTTTCTAAACCATAGAGTGTTCAGGAAAACATGACTGCAACTAGCTGCACGAAAAATTCAGTAAGTCTATTATCTCCACACACAAAGATCATGGCCATAAACTGAGCCAGAATACAATCATGCATTATTTGATTTGGCTCGTAGCCAATAGAGTAATAATATATCCATGGGCTGGAAATTCATAGGACCACTTGACAAAATTCCAAGTTCATATTTGGGGGGGGGGGGGGGGCGGTCTTTGATCGATCAATCGTCCTCCTGCCTAACTTCGCATTCAAAGTTTGAACAGTAAGCAGCATGGTGTGACTATTTACGAACAAGTGGACGGGCATACTTTGCACAGCCCGGTCGTCGACCGGCACGCAGAGTACTATAATGCGACTAGGGCAAAAAATTGTGTCACTCTAGTCTTTATAACCAACTAAAACTCGTCGAAATGTTAAAAAAAATTTCAAATTCAAATCACGTCACCCTCTAATTTTATGTAATGAATCATAGACTAATACAAGTGGCAGTCCATGTATGGTGGTGTGGCCAGTGATAATGCCTAAGAATTAATGTGAGTGTTGACAACATAAGGAGGATGGGTGGCGATAGCCTCTCTTTATGTTTGAATAAACAAATTTGAGTATTTTTTTTTTCTTTCACTTTACTACTTATAAGTTAAACTAGTTTTTCCAAATCAACTTGCATTTATTTCATCAAATAAACAAGAGAAGTGATATTTATACACCTCTTTCTTTTTCAACGGACCATAGTTATTTATGTTTCTTCATTCTCTTTTTCTTTAATTGATTCAAAAATTATAAATGAACAAGGTGTGCATGGATAGGAGAAAGGTTTGTGAAAATAGTCTTTCATAACCAAATACTAAGCAAAATTGAGCATAAAAACGAAGGGTAATTGTCCTTCCTCTATTTTGATTCGAAAGTAAACTGTTTGATCCTTATCCTCCTTCAATTTTTATTCAATTTCTGCTTAATTAGCACTTGTTTTCGTGATGAAAATGCAAGTTGATTTGTCACGAAATCTTATAATTTGTTTATGTGATGATTTGTGTCTGTTAGGGAGGGCTGGGATTTCTCTCCACATCCCTTTCAACTGGATCCTCTGGATTCTTCAATTCTGAAGCTAGAGAGAGATAGAGATGGAGAAGATACAGAGAAGAGAGTCGGAGAGAGAGATGGAGAGTATACAGAGAGAAGAGAGTCGAAGAGGAAAGAAAATGAATATGAGAAGGTGAAGGGAGTCAAGATGAACATGAGAAGGTAAATAAAGTTACTTAATTTCTAGTCGTTTGATTTTCAGTTGAACATGCATTACTGAAAGATCCGAAAGATTCGGATGGAAGGAATCTGGAGAGGATCCTATTCTAGTTAACGATAGTCAGACCTTGGCTTTTTGGTGGCCTAGGGATTAGCACAAAACTGAGGCCCTTCCCTATATAGATATTGGAAGTTGTTCCGTTACAACTTGGTATGGTTTTTGGAATTGCAAATAGAAGAGATAGAGAATAAGTCAGAGAGAGAAGGAAAGGGCAAGAGAGGGAAGAGAAACAAAAGACTTTGATTTAATTAGTAATGAAACTTTATAAGGTTTTCGACGTAAAACATGCTTCAACGTCAGTAACCAACCACGATACTCTCGAGAAAATAGTATGATGGCTTCTAAGTTTTAACCGCATGAACAGAAATGAGAAGGAATCCTAGTGTTGAGTCGGAGTAAAAATAACATCATCAAAAAAGGAGATCAAACAATTGAGCTTATGTACTAGTTTACATTAGTTGATACATGGTAAGAGAGGTTGAACTCCTTGTTGCCTTACTGATACATGGTATGTTCTTTCATTTCTCAGAAAATGATATATGTACCCGTATCTTGGACTATACTGCAAAGCAATTGGACAAAAATTGACAGCTTTTGTGACCGGTCAGATTTCAGCATGGGTTTAAGATTGCAGTGCTCCAAAAATTGGGACAACCTTTGAATTGACTGGAACGGGCCTCACGAAATGTATCCTCTCTCCTAATGAATAACAATGATGCAAGACCTTATGATATTCAAGAGAGTGAGTGACTCCTTTTGCCTCGTGTCACTTCTATAGTTCTATATAGAGTTTTCATTACTTATCTCAATAGTGATATACTTAAATACACAAAATAAATATTCTTTAACACACGTGATTTTTGCATGCAGATAGAGCTCATCTCTTAACTGCATGTAAAAAAAAATGTAAGTTTTTGTCCCTATCCTGTGTTAAATGATATATGGGGCTAATGTGGTTAAGGGGTTTCTTATGGTAGATTGGAAGAATTGTCTCTAGCGTCTTCGTCAAATACGATTTATGTCTACACATACTTATAGAGAAGAAAATTATGTTGTAGATGCTTTAGTTTCGTTTGGGGCATAAAGTTATGTTTAAGTCTAGTGGTCTACGGTTCCCGATTTTGTAACCTTTGCTCATGCTCGTGACATTTTTTTTTGTCCTTATTATCGTTTTTGTTGATCACTCTTGTCTTTGCGAGTATAGGTATAGTCCCCCCGCTTGTATCTTTTTTGTTTACTTTTATTTATTATTAATAAATTTGGTGGAGGAGAGACATGAGTGGAATTTCTAGGTGTAATGGTCCTCTCCTATTCGGAAGAGGGTATGTGTCTCGCACGTGACCATTGCCAAAGAATAATCTCACCTAATTTTTCTACATTTAAAAAAAATTGTGTTTATGAATAATATTCTTATTATCATCTCAATTACTTATACATAATTTACCAATCAGACAATCGCTTACACGTGCATGTATACAATTTCTCTAGAGAAATGTTAAGGAGACTCTCTGAAAGTATGACTCTCCATGGACTTTCTGCTACCTCACAATTTTAACACTCATTCTTGTGACAACATATTAGAACATTGTGCCAAAAATATAAAGTAGCAAAATCCACAAAGAGTCTCATTTAAAAAAAATCTCCTTAGCATTTCTATTTCCGATTGTTGATGGTTAGAAGTCACTCCACACAAATCAATGGGAAAAATCTCCCGTGCGATTCCATTGCACATCTCTTACTCATATTTCTTTGTCAAAGTTTTGGCGTACCCTAATTACCTAGGAAGAAATGGTTTTTTTTTTGCAACATGGACCTTTTGGTTTGGTTGAATTCATGTCTATGACTTCTAGCCATTAATTACATTTATCCGCTAATTAATTATGAGGTGTCACCTTCATACTTTTTCTATATTCTATGGGAATGAGAATCCTCTTCGGATGGGATCCTTCAATCACGTCTATTCATCGTACATTGTGTGGCCAGTTTTCATCAGGTACTATTTATATTCAATTTTAAATAAAAAATTTATAATGATTTCTGACCTTACGATGTACGATGAACGGACATGATTGGATGATCCTCGGATTCTTACAAAGAGGATTTGGAGAGGACCCTCATTCATTCTATCGATCAACTTTTCTTCATTTATCCGCCAAATTGACCCTTTCCCGCCAAATTTCACCTTCCTATTAATTGAAACCTTTTTTTTTTTTTTCATTTTTGATCAAGGTCCATTGACTATTCTTCATGTCATTATTTGAATATTAAGTTTTTTACAAGTCATTATATGTCAATTTAAAAAGGGAAAATTAGAATCCCCTACAGTTTTTCTATATCATTTAGATTAAACATCTATGCCTCTTTAAAATTTGATTAAAGTACTTTGACCAATAACCACCTCAAGCTAAATTACATGTCATTATTATATTTTTAAAATTAAAATAATTTTTGAATTTATCATTTTATTTGCATGATGCACTTTTCCTTATTTAGTGGAGATATTAGTAATTAAACTATATTTTCTATTATTCCATATATGTTTTTTCGATCATTGTTTTTTTTTTTTGTTATGAAAACATTTAATATTATTTCTTTTTCCAAATGGGTTTTTTTTTCAAATAGTTGGTGATCAACATAAAAGCTCCATGTAATTTTTTCAATTTTTTTTTGTGAACTTATATTTTTTTTTGTTGTTGTTTTTTTAAGTATAGTTGTTGATGAATTATTATTAGGTATGATACATTACGTATATATTATTTGCGGGTAAGTTTGAATTTACAAAAATCATTAATTGGTACGTTTATTTGCAATTTTGGTACGTTTGATTTGATACATATTGTACATTATTTTTATTTTGGTATGTTTTATTTTGTACACATTGTGTATTGGTACGTTTATATTATTCTCAATCCTATTTTCTCTTAACGTACTAAAAGAAAAACTTATTTCGGTACGTTTGATTTTGTGGGATTTAAAAATATTTTAAACTATTTTGGAAAGAAAATATCTTAAATCGTAGATAATTATTGCTAAATTGTAGCATTATTGTGAAAATAAATTGAATCTAACCAACTTTTTTTATTTTTTACAATTATCTCTAATGGAGAAGAGTGTAATTAAAATGCTAGATTATAGGAAATTTGTTACAATATAATGTGCATATAGCACCCAAATTATGACAAAAAATGCTTAATCAAATCACTAAAAGGCATGTATGTTTTGTAACATCTCACATCGACTAACGGAGAAGGGGTGATGTGCCTTATATGTACATACCCGCCTTCTATAGCACGAGACCTTTTGGGAACTCACTGGCTTCGGGTTCCATCGAAACTCCGAAGTTAAGTGAGTTCAGGCGAGAGCATTCCCAGAATGGGTGACCCACTGGAAAGTTCTCGTGTGAGTTCCTAAAAACAAAACCGTGAGGGCGTAGTCGTGGCCCAAAGCGGATAGTATCTTGCTACGTCAGAACCGAGACTAGTATGTGACATAATGGTATCAAAGCCACTATGCCATGTGGTGCAAATATGCCGACGATGACATCAGGTCCCTAAGGGAGGTGGATTGTAACATCCCACATCGACCAACGAAGAATGGGTGATGTGCCTTATATGTACATGCCCACCTCCTATAGCATGAGACTTTTTGGGAACTCATTGGCTTCTGGTTCTATCGGAACTCCGAAGTTAAGCGAGTGGTGGAGCCGAGACTGGGATGTGACATGTTTGATCTAAAAAATTCAAAATTGAGGCGCCTATATCAAAATATCCCATTTAAAAATGAAAAATATGCTAGGGACTTTGATCAACCTATTTAAATAAAAAAAGTTTAATTCTAACAACTAGGCCGATTAGAGACCGGAACCAAAATGACCATTTCTCTTTTCCTTTTCATTTTGTTAATTGAGTCAGATATAAATATATATCATGTATTGATTTTAAGATGAGAGTTTAGTTCTTCTAGATTTCAGAGTTCAAGAAAATTATAGTTACTTTAATTCTTCCAGTGAAAAATCAGTACAATAACAAAAGTTAAATCTCTCCTACTATTGCATTAGTTTGAATAGTAGACTGCCACAATTTCTTTGGAACACAGTGAGTCTAGGAAAACATGACTCAACACAAAGATCATGGCCATAAACTGAGCCACATACGATCGTGCATTATTTGATTTGGCTCGTAGCTAATAAAGTAATAATATATCCCTAGGCTCCAAATTCATACGACCACTTGACAAGATTCCAAGTCGATATGGGGGCCGGCCTTTGTTGGATCAATCGTCCTCCTGCCTTAATGTCGCGCTCAATAATTATCAGTTTGAGCATCTAGCAGCATGGTGTGAATATTTTCGAAAATGTGGAAGGGCATATTTTCGAACATGTGGAAGGGCATATTTTGCACACCATAACCCGACTAGGGCAAAAAATGGCGTTGCTCCGGTTTGTATAACCTACAAAAACTCGTCGAATATGAAATGTTTCAAAATCAAATCACGTCGTCGCTCCAGTCCTTATATTATAACCAACCAAAACTCATTGAATATGAAATGTTTCAAATCACGTCGTCGCCCTAGGCTTTATAACCAACTAAAACAAGTTGAATATGAAATGTTTCAAAATCAAATCATGTCACTCTCTAATTTTCATGTAATGAAACCATACAAGTGACAATCCATATAGGGTGGCGTGGCAAGTGATAATGCCTAAAAATAGGAGGGTTGACGATATAAAGGAGATATTTTTTTTCAGTGTGCCGAGAATATAGTTCAGTACGCCACGTGTAACAATACAATTGGTTGTTAACTTGAAAAAAAATTATGAGTTATTTTGCACTTTATCACCTTTAAGTTAAATGAGTGTCAACATTTATGTACTATTTCATTTTTTTTCTTTACAATGTCGTATACCTAATTCAATATTATAGTGAATAGGGTGGTGGAAATGTTAGGTTTCCACCATGCGTCCTGAGTTCGAAATTCCCTCTCCCCTAAATTATTGAAGTTTCGAACTCTTTCCTCTACTCTTAGTAGTAATAAAAAAGAAATTCTCATACACAAATTTTTGTTCCAAATCAACTTGTCTATATTTCATCACAAAAACAAGAGAGACGATATTTACACGCCTCTTTCTCTTTTAGCACATCTGTTTATTCATATTTCTTGATTCGTTTTTGCTTTATTTGATTCAAAAATCATAAATACACAAGGGTGAGCATGGATATAGAAGAAAGGTTTGTGGAAATCATCTTTCATAAACAAATATTAAGCAAAATTGAGCATAAAAACGAAGGTTAAGTGCCCCTCTGCTCTTTTGATTCGAAGGCAAACTGTTTGATCATTATCCCCTTTGGATTTCTATTCAATTTCTGCTGCTTAGTACTTGTTTTCATGATGAAGATGCAAGTTGACTAGTCACGAAATCCCATAATTCGTTTATGAGATGATTTGTGTCCGAAGATGCAAGTTGATTTGGCACGAAATCCCATAATTTGTTTATGTGATGATTTGTGCGTGCGGTGTAGTTAGGGAAAAAAAAAATTTAATGTACCACGAACACAATCAATGCGGTACTAAGTGACATAATATAAATAATTGAAATTTTATGTTTAAGTATTGAATTCGTTTGTATAATGCCACTAAAGATACATACACTCAAAAATCTATCTTCGGGCGACCTTGGCATTTTCGTGGCCTAGGGTTAACACAAAACTGAGGCCCTTCCCTATATACGTATTGGAAGTTGCTCCATTACAACTAGGTATGGTTTTTGGAATGGCAAATAGAAGAGAGAGAGAGAGCAAGTCAGAGAGAAAAGGAAAGGAAAAGAGAGGGAAGAGAGAGAGGTGGGAGAGTGTTATTTCGTGGCAAAATGATGCGCTGCCAACGTTGAAGTACATGATTTTTTATTTTAAAGACTAGTTTTTAAGTTTTAGTTTCTTTACTATAT